GGCTCTGTCAAGGAGAGCACTGGAGGAGCTGGCTGTTCTGACATCTCGCCAAGCTCCTCAGCAGCGCCGGTCTCTTTGGCAGTCTGGGAATTGTTGCTGTCGAAAGGTATTCTGGGGTGTCCCTTTGCTGTACTTAAAGCATCCTGTTTAAACTCCTCCACCAGTGACAGGTCAGTCTGGGCCTTCTTGGCAAGGCCACGGACTCTGATCTGATGTGGATCTTCCGACAGTGGTCTTTTGGATAAAGATGGAAGGATGTCACGGCCAGGAGGGGTTTCACAGGGGGATAACTTAAGCATCTCATCTATTTTGGCCATAAGTCTGTCCCCATCTCTGGAAACATCGTCTTTCCTAATATGTTGTTTTCTTTTTGGCCCTTCAGAAACTGCTCTTTGTTTCAGGATCTCAGGGAAGAAGTCAGTGACGCCACCTTCCTTTATCCAAGAAGTTAAATAAAATACTTAGGCACATAAAAGACAGAATCACAATATATATGTATCAACATATATTACAAACATAAGCATGTATATACAATTTATTACACAGGCAAAGCCAAAACTTTTCTTATTGTATTTAAAACAAAACTTTTGTTTTGCTGGTATTAAAGTGACCCAGTGATGACGGGTCTCACTTGTGCTTTGGACCCCATCGCACTTCCTCACCTCTGTACCTCTGCTCTTCATCCTCCTGCCGTATGACGCCTTTGGTCTGGGTAGGCGTACACGAGACGGTGGTCCAGTGTCAGACCAGGGCTCCTTGCCACTGTCCTCGCAGGACCTGAGGGGCTCTGTCTGCTCTGCCTGTTTGTCTCGGCCAGGATGGGTTTCATTGGAGAAGTTGCTGAACATCTCTATTTCAGCAAAGTGTCTGTCCACATCTCTGGAGACACTGTCATTCCCACAATGTTTTCTTCTTTTTGGCCCCTCAGAAACTGTTTGTGGGGTCAGGATCTCAGAGAAGAGTTCAACAGTCTCCTTTTCACAAGGTATGACTCCTTGTTTTACCTAAAAAGTTAAA